TGGGACACGCAGTCGTCAAGCACTCCCACACATTCACAGACTCTTGTTTATTCTCACGCAAGGAATGCAACGTTCGTTATTATTAATAATAAAACACCTTGTTGTACAAAATGGAAACCAAAAAAGTTATGAGATAGCTATTAAGCATGTCCACTTGCGCCGCCATTCATTTTCTAGAGCATAAAACTAATGACTGTCGCAAACAAATTTGACAAATATTTATTTTACGTCGTGTTCATCTTACGAAATGCAGCAGGTGAGGGGTTACGTGAAAATTCCGTGAATCAGCCTGGCTATTCATTTGTCAACGTGACAATTGTTTTTTTTTCCTGCTGTTGAGTTTTCATGAAATTTATACCTACGACTATTCTATGAATATCGACCAGTGGACGGCTAGGTTTATCGCAGGTAATACATTTTTCAAACCAAAAGAAAATTTAAACAAACTATGATATGCGGTATTAAAAATTAATGATTTTTCTTGCAAACACTTTTTTGGGAAAAATTAGATTTTCGGCTTTCTACTTCTCAATAATCAAACAAGAAACGTAGAGGAAACCAGAGTTTTTCATCGAGCTTTTTTTTGGGATATTTACCACATAATATGAAAAAAAATGCATTTTTAAAACAATTTGTGGCCCTTCTAAGCCTTAAAAAATAAACCCCCGGACTCAAATATATAATGTTTTACAAGTAACAGTAACATCTTGATTGTTACTGCTGAGGATATTTCCGATCTGCACCGTACATATCCTGTTATGATAAGACTCATAAATCTTCAGCTTAAAAAACAGACAACGCAGCAAATACACTTGTCGCCTAATCTCATTTTACCCTTCCGGACCATGTGGTAAAACTGTAAAATTATCCCAAACTGGATTACAGTTGGCCGAGAACGCTATGCGGGGGAGGTCGCAGAGCCGTAGGCACTGTTGCCAACTCAAATTTAAAAAAATACTTAGACCATAATAGTAAAACGGTCAAAATCTGTTGTCATGTTATTGAGAAAATAAATAACATGAAAACATCTAATGAAACTTGAAAATTAACATTCGCTATATATGACAACTGACACTAATGATTAATTCAAGAAACAGCCAACTCAATAAAATCGTGTACTCCATATAAAATGCAAACAGATAAAATTCAGAAATAGACGATACTAATCATCAACTACAGAGCGTAGCCAACCAGAAAAAATACATGTGCTCATGACCTATTTATTTTATAGAAATTCATATTGAAAATAGAATAAAGAAAATCACTTTTGTGATGCACTGTTTGGAACCTTTGGTGTAATAATGATCATCTTCCTCTTGAAGATGATCACTTGGTGATCGAGGTGTTAAAATAACGGTTTGGTGTTGGGAAAAACCCCAGTAATATTCAAAATAACTTTTGTCTAATTTCTACTAAGTTAATTATTTGTTCCGGTTTCGGTTTATTAGACTATTTTCAGACTTGAAAACACTCTCCATAACTGATATGATGAAAAGACAGGTTAGACGGAGACAAGTGACTGATGTAATGTTGAATTTTTCAAATGGCTGTAAGTCACATACAACAAGGACAGTTAGGTTGAGTTACTATTTTGTTTATGAATCTACTTTTTGTAATTGCTATCGACATAGACATCGCTGAATGAATTGAACTCAGAACTATGACGTAGGACGAGGCACAGACCGCTAGTTGAATAATTCATTGTGTTCTGTGTTTTTAAAATGAAAGACTTATGTAGCGGGCATTAGCGGAAGTAATATGAAAGAACTTTTGGGAAAGAAAGTTTTTGACTCTCTATTACTACATCCTGATACAAAAATTAATCATACCTAAAAATACAACCCGTTCAATTTAATGAAAGAACTGCCCCTAAACTTTGTTTAGATCAAAATAGAATGACTCTATTCAACCCCATCAGTTTTATGGTGTTTTGATGACTTGTGTATTCGAAAGAAAATACTTTCTCTGATTGAAAGTGGTAGGTTATCGAGAAAGATTTGAAGCACTTAGATCTACGTAAAAATACCTAGATCTACGAAAACATACGTAGAGTTGGCATCACTGGCCGCTGGAGCTGTCTAACAGTGCGGTACGGATATCACTCCGTCTCCAGATGTTATGCTGTAATCTAATAGTTAACCTAAACAGAAGAGTCAAGTGCACATCTGGAATTCTTCGGAATAGTAGTAGGCGTAACAGTCACATCTGGACGAATCTACCAATTGTTTTCTCGACGTTTCCGTTTTCCACGACTTTACAAATAAATACTATTCTTGTTTTGTTCCGCCACTTTGCCGCATATGGTAGCAAGGGTCTCGTTGCAGACTGTACAGGGTTGCATATGAAAACAGATATTTAAAAAAAACAGGTTTCAAAGATGTAAATCAATGTTCACTGCTGAAAGTACTTTTGAAAAATCGGTTGAAATTGTAATAACTAGAATTAGGAAGCTATATGTAATAAACGGGAGTCAATTCTGTCCCTACTCTTAGTAAGTTGCGCCAATAATAGTTGTACACTTTTTGAGTTATAAGGCGTTTGAATTTGACAAATCGGCATGTTGACTACTTGTGTTTTGTTTTTGACTTGTAATTTTTTAAAGAATATTACTGGAGTTTTATCCCAACACAAAACAAGTGATTATCTTCCTCTTGAAGATGATCACTTGGTGATCGAAACACGTGTCGAGGTGTTAAAAATAACGGTTTGGTGTTAGGATACAACTACACTAGTATTCATTACTACACCGAAGGTTCCAAACAGTGCATTACAAGTTGTATTTTTTTATTGCTGAATCGATTTCTATAGATTTTTAGAGCGTAGTTATTTGGAATTAGTGAAAAAAAGTGGAATTTACAAGAGTTGCAGATAATACTCACATACACAACTGAAGCGAGAAATATGTTTTTTCTACAAGAAGGCAAATGAATATCAAATGCTTTATCTGTGAAATTTTATCAAACAGTCGTTTTGTGAAAAATGCATTTTTCAATTAGTCACTTTTGAAGATGGTGTATATTTATATTTATAAGAAAGTAACCATGACCTCAAATAATAATTGTCTTATTTGGTAGGATCAACATAAAACATATTCTATTTGCATAAGTCACAGTTGAATTTTTCAGTTAACATATAGATACAATTTAGACAGGTCGAGCATTTAAGAGTGGTGTAGGGAAAGGTTAAAAAATTATGTAGATCTTTATAAATTTACACCATTTCAACCCATTGTCGTAGTAAAAATGTACTATGGTACTAGGATATTCTTGATTTCATAAATGTCATCATAAAAGTAGATGGTTATTAGTATTAACTCGAAGTATGATACAAATAAATACGAAAGAGAAGTAGTTACACAGATTGTGCGACTGCAAGACTCCAAGAGCCGGATTCTCGGAAACCATCAGTGGCCAGTTCACGGATCTGTTCCATCTGTGATGTCGGCATCGAATGCGCCAGCCTGACGCCAGCTTCACATCGTGTTTGTGTATGCCAGGCCGACTTGGGAGTATTGTTATAGCTGCTGGCATACTCCAGCAGAATTTGTCACAAGTCGGGAAACGCGAGGAACAAATTTCACATAAACTCAATTATTCTTCTTTTCACATAGTTGGAATTGACAATTTTCTGCCGGAAACAACTTATTTACCTCCTAATACCACGACGGATAATACTAATAATAGTAATGCGTCTTTTATTTTCAGAGCAGCTTTTACACATACAGTTATACTCAGCATTTAAATTGCTGCTCTTCCATGCAACCACCTAAATTACTGATAAATCAAGAGACATACGTGAAAATATCGAAAATCGAACAAAAACACATACATTGGAAGTTATTCCAGATAATGCAAATTACTGAAATAATATAAAATAAAACAGAATTTCAATTATTAAACAATTGGAAGAGCACAGTTTTATGCGAGGGAATACAATATTTAGCAGAGAACATTATGGATAGACGATGTACATCAAATCTTTATAGCAATTCAGATGTCAGATAAACTGGATCATTATACAGTTCAAGTTTGACCATAAAGAACTTCGGAATGCACTTCTAATATGGTCTTTTTGCGTAAACCATAACTTTATCATACAAGTGATATGTATTTTCTGAAGGCTATTCGTGTCTCTGGATTTTAGTTCAGGCCAAATAGTACCAAATCTTCAGGAATTGGTTCTAACCTTTTTGATGCAAAATATGTGTTTATTTCAAATTCTCTGAAATATCACAATCACAGGTAATGATTCACCTGACAAACCATAAATAATCTATGAAGACCATCAAGGTTGCATTTGGGCCTCTAGAAATATTTAACAGAATATTGCGAATCAATCCACTGCAAATGAGGAGGAAATCCCATGAAAGGAGTGCCGTATTCAGTGTTATCGGGGGTCTACTACTGTTGATCACCTCTTTTGGATCTCGAGATATTCGATACTGTTCGAGAATTAAATTATACGGATGACCTAATGATAAAGCCCTTGCAAATGTGCTTTTTCCGTTAACGAAAATATTATTATTCGTATATAACGCTCTCATGCATACATCAAAATATTTCATATACCTACCATTGAAAAGGATGGAAAAATGTTTGAAAATGACAGGAATTTTAAATTCATCGATATATAAATTCAAGATTGAGAGAAGAAATGAAGCTATGAAATCACCAGAACCATCTTCAGTGTACCTAAAAGTGTACCTGTTGAGGAACACGATAAACTTGAAATCAAAAAACAGTAACTACATGTGGATAATTTTGTTGGAGAAATTGTAGAACTTTTTTTTATAAAATTCGACGAAGATTCATCAGATTTATACTTAATATCTTAAATAAGCATACCTATTTATTATTATGGAAATATTTTAAATTGATAGAAAAATATGGTTATTAGTTTTAACAAGTATTTTCAGTGCACTAAGGGTTTATTTTAGTGATTGTGCATCACCATAAAAAATTACAGGTTTAAATATGAAAGTTTCGAAATCTCTTCCCATATTCAAGTAACAATTCATTGTGAGATTCTCACTGAACATTCTCATTTTCGCCGATCAACAAGAATTTCCGGATCCGGACAGGATACATTCCGTTTATTACAACCTGTGTGAACGTGACTATCGCGTATAATTTCACTGTAACACAATATTGTCTGTTAAGTCGTTCCAGTTAACATGGAATTACGCCTTCACATTTCTGCATTCGGAAACATTATCCTTACACATTCTTCGTCGTCACAAGTAGTTGCAGCATTGTTCCTTTGAAGGTAGGTGTAAATTTCATGAGTCATGTTCTAGGCTGTGTCGGCACGTCAACATGCATTTTAAATAATCAAGGACCCGTTTGCCAAACAATAATTAGCAAAGTTGAGATCCCATTGATATGTGATATACGTAATTTCCATGTTTCATTCAATCCAACTTCAGAAATAGCTGGAGAATCAACTCAGTTTGTTTTGTTTGAAAAAAGTCTGTTCCTGAAATATCCCAGTCGTGGGATTTCGAGCGAATTGAACTGCATCTCAGCACGTAACATTCAAAATAATAGTAAAAAATCAGACACAATGCCAAATTTTTCATTTTCGTACACTAAACAATTTGTTTTAGCTATATTCTAGCCCACATCGTGTTACTTGTAAGTAAAATCGGAACCTCTGGCGTTAAATGAATCTATAGAATGAATCATTAATTATTTTGTGTTATGAAACCACTCATGATACTTAATATTACCCTCTTTTCTACCTGTAATTATTAGGTAAGATAGTAAACGAGCACAATCCAAACAACCCATTTATAAACTCTCAAAAACCTCTAGAAACCTGTTGTCATGTGCCGCTCCCAATAATTTCAAGCATTTCTCACTTTTTCTGTAGCCGTTCTCCAGGATAACTTTAGTAACACTAGAATAAAACCGAAAATGTGAAACATATCTCTTTTAACGAATTATAATGGTCCGCTGAGTTCGATATCATACTTTTTGTCGCAATTTTCACAGCTTATTTCGTAATTTTTTTTTCTGTTTTCCGGATTTTCCATAAATCATTCAAGAGAACGAGCAGTTTTTGGAAAATTCTGATCAATCTATCAGTGCATTTTGAATCATATGGAAAAACTTTAAATTTTGGGTCTTCATATTTTTGAATATTCGAGTATTTACGAAAAACCTCTCTAAATTTCCCTGATAACTTTCTTCTCATATTTTTCTTTGTTTTAGGGAAACGCCACCAGTCTACGGACAAAAAATGTAGCATCGTCATTGTTTTGTTTTAGAGCTTTCAGGAAAATATACGAGAATTTTACTATTCGTTCTAAATACATTAAATTATAAACCATTATCGGCGTTTTTTGTACCTATTCCTGAATGCATATTACTGGAATTTTTCCCAACACCAAAACGTTATTTTAACACTTCGACACGTGTCCTCTTGAAGATCAAACTCAGTTTCAATGTTCTAGTTATGAAGAACGCCGATAAGGGTTCAGAATTAGATGTGTACAGGGCGCTCCAACGAAAACTACGACTCGATTAATTTAAACTCGGCCCAACTGCATGTATGAAATCTTCGTCTAAGAGAAAGATTGTTAACTAGTACAAGGTCCATCCCGTGAACTAAGCCCCAAACGCGCAAGAAACATCCCATGTACCAATAATACTCTAACAGAGATCAAGACATGTCTGAAAATTGTATCGAGGAGAAATACTTACTCATAAGAAAATAAACATTTCGAAATGAATCAAGAATACATTTAACGAACCTCAACTTGTTTTCTTCCATCCAACAACAGTTTCCACTTTTATATGAATATAAATAATAATTAAATCTACGAATTTTCTGAATTGAATGGCGCCGTCACCTCGCAATTAAATATGTTTACATGCACAAACAAATACATGTTTTCATTCAACACTGAGCGCAGGCAATATCTTTTGAATAATGAACAACAAATATAGAATGCGATAAAATTTATAGAAAAATATTTCGTAGACTGGTCCAGGACTGGCGCTATTTGAATATTATTCAGTAGAATTGCAGTCTACTTTCTAATTCATATGAACATAGTAACTGATTTTGCAAGTTAACGTTTGTTCAGTTGACTGCATAAGAATAACCTTAATGTTTGTTGCTCTAGATATATTTCAAAAACCCGGGTATATGTTTGTTATAAACACGAAGGTATGTAGGAACTCTGTTTTTATTTAATTTTCAGGACACGACTGCTAATGAAGAAACTTCCGGCAGTTCCGGGTTTGGTATATACCACGTGGTGATTGTTGTCAGTTCTACTTAGAGGATAGTGAGGTTAGCTTCCTATTTTTCGACAGTAAATTGCAGAAGTGAATTGTAGCTATTGAATTGAAGCATTATTATTACATCGAATCAAATCATGACGTCATCCTCTTTTCCAGGTATGTCTGATTTAATCAGGTCAGCTGTGCTTTTTATTGAAATTATTTGAAATTTAAATCGAAATTCAAACGTAAAACAATTTTGCATATTCAATTAAAAAATATTTCCTCATTGAAAATCTTTTGAGATTTTTTACATCAAATCAAACACCAACATTGAATGCTCAAAATAAATACTACATGTTTCTCCTTTTAACCGACTCAACTATGTACGCCTATTGAACAGCTACATGAAAAATAGTCATTGCTCCGCTGCTCAAGGAAATATACATAATTCATAACTTCGTTAACAAAACTGAATTCTCGAATATCGAGAGAGGATGAAAATCCTAATGCAGTAAAGACTTGAACAGTGAAAATCATTTTGGACGTTTTGAAAAACATAAATTCCAATGCTTTTGTGAATGAAAGTCTTCAACTTTGTTTTGAGCGTTCAATTTAGCTTGGGCATGCTGTCTAATTAAAATTAAAAAAACGAATACAAAACAATGCCAAACAAGCGTTCATAATAGGCTTAATTTTATCGCGCACTTCCAGAAAGAATTACGTAATCCCCAATATTATTATATCAACCGGCATGAATATTCAACAAATCCGCCCTTGGCATCGATGTCCCAGAAATGTCAGTGACAACTCCTCTCGTTAATTAAAATTCCCCGGTCCCAGTCGGCCATAAGGCCCTGAAACGAAAGACAAACACATGCTTCAGTCCTAGCAAAAACCTGCTAAAGCGTTTTATCCGAAAATTATGGCTAATCTAATTTTATAACGCAGATAAGTCATGAGCGGGTGTCGAACGCACAAGGTGCTATGTAGATGTAGACCACACCAATTAACGAACAGGTGTGTAAACCTTTTCAGCTTTCAGTGTAAACACGCCGCATTCGTAGTGGGCTGGTGTCAACTGCACTGCGAGGATTTTAACAGCACCTTTACGCGTCACAACTTTCATTGCCTGTAATTAGATGCGACAATTTTTATTGCCGCAATTATAATTACAGTTTTGTTTTATACATGGCAACTGAATGATTCGATGTCAAAAACGTTCTGGCATTAATCAGACTTGCCAAAATACATTGTTAAAGAATGAAAATGTATAAAATCATTGGCATTTGAAATTGAATTTCTAAAAATATCTTCAAATTACCCTTCATTGTAAGATTTTCACTGAATGGTTCACAAATCCGTAAACCAAATGATAGTTTGCAAATGTGAATTTGGTTTTCACATTCAAGAAACTATTCCTATGTTTGTTTTCTTCTTTGAGAAAAGGTTCTCTATGTTTGGCCGAATAAAAATCTTGGATAAGAACAACAAATTAACTTTTATACTCCTTCTTTAATAGACAGTTAAGTTTTTCTGATATGGAAATTGATAATCAGTTTATTACATGTCCATTCAATGAGTTGCTAAAATTTCTTTATGATGTTTGAATTTTTAATTAGTAGTACTGAGAAAATGAAAATAACACATCTAGGTGTTATTAACACTAAACATAAATATTCGGAGTTTTTGTTATCTCAAATTTCCGGTTATACAACTAATCAGTAAGATTCATCGTTGCAATTCCTTCAAAAATTGTGAACAGTGAAAAGCAAGCCTGAAACCCCAATCTATCTTTTATCTATACTTAAAAATGCGAAAGTCATCCACTTAACACTCACTCATTCATCTCTGTTTTTCCGTTCTGGTAAGCCCTAGGAAGCTTAAATTTGATAAATAGGTGCTTCATGAGTCTTACATGTGTACTAAGAAAGCATTTTCAAATATTCTGGGGCGTCAAATATTCTGGGGCGGCGTCCTGGGGGTGAAAGGTGCGCGTTTACATAGCAAAATTACCTCTTCATCACTGCTTCTCCATGCCCTTAAATTTCCGGTGAGTGAATTGATATTTATGTATACGGCTACATCCTACATCCATCAATTGATTGATATTTAGTATCAGCATTGTAAAAATTGTATCATTAGTGTTGAAAAACTTACTAATGAAATACTGAAAAACATTCAGAACAAATAAATAAAGAAAATCATTTGATGCGTGCAGTTCGCATTCACCCAGCCTAATTTTAGCCTTCGTCTTTGTTATTTTCTTTCTGCTCAGAGGATTTCATATTAGTTTCCAAATCACACAATGAGGTGTTTATTTATTTTCTGCCTAATATTTTAGTTGGTTTGAATTTTCGGTTGAATAGAAAGAATTCAACCAGAACCTTCAGAAATCAGATAATTTTTAAAAGATGTTTATTTTGTATGTCTCGTGGACAATGGATGCTTATATTTTGTTCTTCAAAAATGACACTTTGAGTTTGCTTGCGTCATGATTCTCGTGATGGACTGATAGACAGTTCTAAAATGTAAGATTTTTTATGGAAATGTATTATTACACAACGCATATGGAAATGAATTAGATAACGAAGTATCTGCAGTTGAAAAATATATTAATAAAAAAGATTTATTTTTTCTATAACTTCCTAGAGTGTTCAAACAGAGATGAAACTATCTCAGAATGAATATATCTTCTAAGTTGGCCCTCAAGATTCAGTATTCATCCATTTTTGATATATCTGAACGATCTGGCGTTTGCGGACGATACCATCTTTTTCTGGTGTAGCAAAAATACTTATAATGACCAAGAGAATGTCTCCAAAAGGTTTTGGATAGACTTCAACAATCAACGACCAACTGTGTGAAAAAAAGGGAATATATAAAAATTTCAATTTTATTCATAAATAACAGTTACCAGAGTGACTGTTACTTATTAGGTACTATCGAAACTCACTTGAGATACTGCAGCCAATAGTCTTTTCAGTCAATGGTTTGCAAAAACGATCTTTTACGATTATTTACGCAAAGTTGAATCATTAGATTCATTTTGATTATGAATCGATTGATATTCTTGTATTGTGAAAAAGTTGATAATAGATAACGATATGGAATATGATTCTAAGACTTTTCTTTTTTGTTTTGCTATGTTTCAACTATTCAGTGCTTGGTATAAATTAACAATTTGAATTATATGACTTTTTTCCATTTAAATGGACATAAACTGAAATTAGCTGAGTTTACGTAACAGCTAATTACCAATTTAAATATTGGAAAATTGCTTTTATAAAAAGAAATTATTCAATATCATTTGGTTATTCAGTAATAATTCCTAATTTTCAAGTCTATTGATTTCTAAGCATTTCAAAAGATGCCGCGAAAGAATGGTTTGCAAATGTGGAATTATTTTTTCACAAAAAACTACTCTGCTATTCAATTCCTCACGAAAAGATTTTTTATTTTCGGTCCATATAAAGTTAGGGCAAGAACCACAAATCAACAAACTCGTATACTCCTGATCTATTCGATACTATCCGAGCGAAAAATTGATGGTTCACCAAAGTATATCAATGTTCTATGACGCTTGTTATCGTTTTTTGAAGTTGGTTAGAAATGGTTTATGGCATGTTTTCGTAGTTTTTTATCGTTGTTTATAGCAATTTCTTTGATGAAACTAAGTTAAAATTGAACATCCACCTGAAGCCTTCTTGACTCAAAACTGTATTGATATTATACCACCTTTCTATTCTTTTTCTATAAAGCAATTCTCAAAATTTTTCAATATAATGAATGTTATCTCCCAATAAAAACATATCTACCTATCTACCATTTTTCAATGTTTCTTAAAGATCATACTTATAAAAAACATTCTACGCTGAAAATGTATGCTTGAAAGTGGATATAATATAAGAATGCATATTGAAAAAGTTTTCATTTCTCGGGAATGAAAACATCTTCCTCCAGTTCAAATATATAGTTCCCTTATTCATTTCCAAACGCCCTTTTTGAGTCGTCAAAATAAACAACACTGTTGACAAAAAAAAGTAAAATTTGTTGGCCATAAGCGGCAAAAGTATAGCTTACTCACATCGAACCGTGGGAGCCAAGTGGATTACAGCGGTTATCTTAGAAATGCCGAACTGGCGTGTTCAAGTGTAGTCGATATAGCCCGGTTAGAATTCAATATAGATCGGTAAAGAGTAGTTCATCTCGATAGGAATCCACCAGTATTTCAGTCAGTTTTTAACAGTAAAAAAACATTTATCATTCAAAATATCTTCTTGTGGAAATAATTACTCTGTTAATGAAATCTATTTTGTCCGTTGTTATAGTATAATACACTTGAACAGCTAGAATTATCCTTATGAAACTTCTTATTTTCAGGTAGCACTTTGCCAGGGGAAATCAAACATAAAATTAAATATGTGTTGTTCTATATAGGGTGTTGTTTTCAAGGCATTAGAAGATGAACTGTAGTGGTACAATAACGCCTTATAGGTTCTTAATTTGTTTTCCGACGTTTTGTTAAGATATGATCATAGTATGAAAAACTTCTATTTTTAAGTTTATATGCCAATGAATAGGCACAGACAAATCCTCATCAGACACATTCCATTAAAGTGTATATTTATTTGAAAAATAGATGAATCTCAGGGGATTAGACAATGTAAACTCCCGCTCCTATCTTTAAATTTAAATAAAACAAATTGTTTCAGATATCGAAATTTTTTATTCGCCACGGCTTCTCTGGGTGGGGAGCATCCGAAACGTCCAATTTTCCATGACTGTAGCGCATCAATCAGGCTGAATCTTACCGATGTCATGGGTTATGTTGACTTTGAGGACGGCTGTAGTTGTGGCTTATTCGCATACACCTTCGACTTAAGAAAACCCCACACGAAAAAGTATAACTGGGTCCAAATCACACGATCTCGGAGGCCAGTCGTTGATGTCCAGGTCATCCAATTCAGACCAAAAGAAATTGGAATTTAGTGTTCGCCGTTGACAATGATGGCCTGGCCAACGTCGTTCTCCAAGAAATATGGGCCAATGACGCCGTCAGCCCAAAATCCACACCAAACGGTGACTTTTTCGAAATGCATTGGCCGCTCTTGAATCTCATGTAGATTGGTATCGACCCGAATTCGACAATTTCGCTTGTTCACGTTCCCATTCATCGCTGAAAATGATTTTTTGAGTAAAATTAGAGTCAGTTGCTAACTGCTCAGTGAACACACGTCGTCTATGGTTTGCCTTCAGTTCCTGGGTCACTTGAATTTTGTACAGGTGCAGTCCAAGTCACGATGTAAAACCCCATGTTGGAAGACCATATCATGATGATATTAAAAACTAATGAGTTATATTTCATTGTAGTTTTGAAATTTCCGAACCTACTGAACCGTGCTAGACAATCTTCGTGTTCGTTGAAGGCAACCGGTAGGCTGGAAGTTGGCCGCCTGACCATAATAAGCGATGGAACGGCTTGATGGCGCCAGATGTTGTTTTGTGCCGGCGGCCACAGCCAGTGCACTCTTCGCTGTGGAAAGACGGCGGGGCATTTTAACACTTGCCGAATTCACGGGAAATTCCCTTGGAAGCGGAGGTCGTTTATTAAATGGAAAATTTTATGAACTTTCGTTGCGGCGATTTAGTCCAACTGGTGGAAGAGGTTATTTCTGTTCTAACAGATGTCAAATCGCATTTCGCAAGTTTACTGAATTTCATTAGAGATAGTTGTCAAATAGTGAAATTGCTGGTTTTCAATAAAACACTCCTGAAAACAATTAAAAGATCACTACTTTGTAATAATCGTGTACAAGAATAAGTTTTACGATAAGTATAATAATGTGACCTTTGGAATTTACTCTTTTTGACAATGATGGTCGAGCCAGAGTATACAGAAGAAGGAATTAACGTTTTATTTCCTGCCGCTTATCTTCAAGGGTCCTATTTGGAGGTGGATCAATAATGGTATGGGGTGGAATAGCACTTAATGATCGTACAGATCTTGAAGTCTTTTCAGTGTCACTGATCTTGGTGATCTTAGAATCACCCGCAACGGATCTCTGACCGCCAAAAATTACGTTAATGAGGCGTTGGATGTCCAGATACCTCACAAAGCACAAGCAGAAGGGCACACTTTCATTTTTATGCATCTCCACGCTGCATGGATCATACGTCAGTACCTACAAGCCCACAATATCACCGCTTGCAGCCTGGACCTGAACCCCATCAAATATGTCTGGGATCAACTGGGAAGAGGCATCAGAAGCCGTCACAACCAACCCACCACTTTGGATGAGATGGAAATCGCTCTTCGGGAAGAGTGGGAGCGTTTGCCTCAAGAAAACCTCAGGAGGCTCATGAGAACCATGCCCCGGCGAATCCGAGCTGTGATTTATGTCCTAGGAGGAAACACAAGGTACTGAGGCACACACAAAAACAACTCTGTTCACTTTTAATTTCAATAATTAAAGGGTTTTCATTCTGATTTTGGTAGTTCTTTGCTTTTCTCACGTATACCCAATACACGACAAAAATTATTAAAATTTTTTGCATGGATTTAGTAGCCATTTGCATTGCCTTTTAAAATATCAAAATATATAATAAGTTTTTTCACTGTTGAAACGATTACAAGTTCATAAAAAGTGATCCTTTTATTGTTTTGAAGAGTTTATATAATATCTAAGCATTTGAATAAATTGGTTCTTCCGTCTTAAATCTTGAAAAACAATTAAATGAAAAGTAAAGAAATATTGGAAAGTATCAAAAACAGATGAAGGGAATATATCACAAAATAAAAACATATTAAAACCTTTCAACTCACAAAAATATTAATTTTTTATAAAAGCGCCAATGAGACAATTTGTGATTAAATGAATATCTTGAAGTCATAAAATTCATTTTCTGTTCATTTATAAAAAACCCTGTGACCTTTTTGGGGTTCATCAACACTCTTGCAACACCTAACTTGAGCACAGATGTTGGACCGAAACTTTTCCGTATCTTATAAGGAATAGTATGCGAGGAATTTGGTTGTTTCCTTAAATGGAGTCGGTGTAATCTGAACGAGTTGTCTTGACCATTTGCTACCAGTACTCTGAAACAAAATGTTGCCAAGTTTGAAAAGCAAAGAGTTTTTGCAAATTCCCATCTTTAATGCGGAGCTGATTGAAAAAGTTGTTGCCACAGATTTGAATATTCATGAAAATCATTTGGTAAATGTGGAAAAACCCGTGAGTGAAAACAAAAAAAGATAAATCAATTAACTTTTGCCTTGATCATCAAAGGTCCTTATTTGAATGGTATCTTGACTCACTACACCGACGCGACGAGAGAGAGATAATAAAGGTGAGTCATCGGCAGTTTCTTGGAGTTTGAGATCAATTAATGATCGTTTACATTGCTCATATTCATTGAAAAGTTTCCACGGTTTCAATTCCTTTATACCACACAAATAGTAATTTTCCCAACTAGTAAAATTGTGAGCATTTTATATTCCACAGTAATATTAAATTACCAAATATCGTGGTTGAAAAATGGAATATAAATTATCATTGAATAATAAAGTACTGTCATTCATTATCATTATTATGTCGGCTCAAAGGTGATTCTTGATAGATAGATAAGTTGTCTCAGTGAATTTATATGGAAGTATTCAATACTTAGTCACAATCATATTTGAATATTTGATTCCACTGGTTCAATTTGATTAGGAATGTGATAGTGATTGCAATTATGAAAATGATGTTTAAATTGAAAGGGTGTATTTTTATTTAAAAAATCAACTCTATATAAAGATGTGTCGATCATGCAAAGAAGTAACTTTCATACACAAACTGTAAGAAAAAGTCCTCGCGAAACAGCTTTTTTCATATAAACATTGAATTACACGAAAGAAAAATACTTTCGAAATAAATACTTTTATATGAACGCTGAATTATACGAAAAATACTTTTTTTATTCCGTTTGTATCCCAAACATTCGTATTTGAATGGAATCAGATATCATTCATAGGATTCCTACTCCTACAAGAAGTAAAATTTCACTTACATGGAACACTGTCATCCTCACTGCTAGATATCCAATGTTTCGCCGTAAGACACTTGCCTTATCCGCTCTTCAGTAGCAAATACTTATAACATCATAAGAAAAAACACTCAATTCGTTCATAATTATGAATTTTTATCACGGAATGGGTCATCGATGACATTACGTAAATAACATTTACTCGCTTATCAAATCCCATCATTTTCTCGAAAAGGCACACAATAGATACGTTTTTGGGGCTATCGGCCCATCATCAGTATGGTGCAGCCAAGTGCACGGATGGGCAACACGGATGGGTTGCTAAAAGAAGTACAAATGCACGAAGCCAACAGCAGCAGTGTTATAGGTTAAAACATCTTTTGAAATGTAATTGTAGTTCATAAGCTATTAGATTTCCTCTTTTGGGTTTTCTCTTCTTTTATCTATAATCTTTTTATAACCTGATTGGGTATTGTATTTCAGTTGAACGAATAAAGAATATACAATATCCCTCATCAATAAAACTATTGACTTGAAACGGATTATAAGAACAACGGCGCCACTGAACCCACGTATCTAAACTTTAATGAGCGATAAAATCACCTGTATCCTAAGCCATTCGGGTCTTCTTTGTTCATTGCTTCGTTTTCTGTGATCGGAATCATTAGTTCAAAAAAGCCACCTGTCTGAAGCCTGGCGAACTCCTTTCTTTGCCAGTAGTATTTCTTTCTGTTCAGAGGATTTGGTCAATTTCTGGGGTGTGAATTTTAAGTGCCGCCTGTGCCGCGTCTCTGGGCCGAAATTTATATGGAGACACCTGTTGTTTCTACCTGGACGAAAGATGTAAATAAAATCCTATCTAGTTGAAGAACCAGTGGCGCAGTCAAGGATGTTCCGAAAGGAATCTATCCATCTCATACATTAAGTGAAGATTTCAAGGGTCTACATAAGAAAATCAATTGATACCAGACAAACTTCACAACTTCATTTTGTTCATATAAAAGAAATGAGCAAAAGTATAGCAAGCGCCAAACGTGATGGCGAGCGATCGCGCAGGTATAGAGTTTGCCAACTAAATTCCTATTCTTATTGGATTACGATAAGCCCTTTGCCGGCCAGTGTCCTACCTATAATAAGTTTCAATTAGGGTAGCGAATGGAACATGATTTCTTTGTAATTTATTTTCATATTTCATTTAGTATTTAGTTCAAAAAACTAAACATACACGCTTCAATAGCAATAAAATCTAAAAAATAAAAAGTTATTCGAAACTAATTTAAGATTGCGTTCAAAATCGATAATAAGTCTCATGGCTTGATGTAACTAAAGACGTTCAATAAGTCTGAAATCAGAATAAATATATTCACAAAATACTTATTTTGCTTTAAAAAACCGTGGGGTGCTAAATATCCATTGTTATAAATAATTGGTTAGGAGCTATTTGCCAGATTGGAACCATAACAAAAATATAATTTAAAGCATCCCACGCTTTTTCACAACAAAATTAATTTTTTTGTAAATAGATTCATTCCGATTTTATACTTATCAAAAGTCTTAAGTTACATCTAGTCGCAGCAGAAAATGTGTTACTTCCCTGTCTAGTGAAACACTACTTTTCAACATAATTACTTCACATTTTACAGTGACACCCTTACGCTGTCGTAATAGTTCAGTATTAGGACCCTTCTCA